TATATATATATATATATATATATATATATATATATATATAAATTTTGCGCACCCATGCCACCACCCTATAGCAGTATTTCTGCTATAGGGCGGTCAGGAAGCGGTTTGTGTTACATCGATGCGTTACTTTAACTGACAAATGCGCGGTCATGCAACACTGCACCCAAATTAAATTTACATCCTTTTTTCCCACAAATTGAGCTTTCTTTCTGTATTTGATCGCCTGTGCATTTTTTATTTTCTATTAAAAAAAAAAAAAAAAAAAGGCTGACAATTTTGCGAAAAAAAATATTTTGGACTTTTTGCTATAAAACATGTCCAGTAAAAAAATTTAAAAATCAAATTTCGTCATAAATTTCGGCCAAAATGTATTCTGCGACATGTCTGCTAAAAAAATCCCAATACGTGTAAATTGGTTTACGTGAAAGTTATAGCGTCTACAAATGGCGGGAAAGATACTGGGATTTTTTTTTTTTATTTTATTACGAATAATGGCGGCGATCAGCGACTTATGGCGGGACTGCAGCAGACATTTTGACACTGGGGGGGATCTGACTTGGGGTTACTGACATCCCCAGTGACACCAATACAGTGATCAGTGCAAAAAAACCCACTGACACTGTACTAATGGCACTGAGGAGGGAGGGGTTAACTTTTTTAGGCAATGAAAGGGTTAACTGTGTGAGGGGAGTGTTTTGCTAGGGGGCGGGGGTGTGTACTTCACAGGAACAAACTCTGCTCTCAGGATCAGTGTGTTAGGAACTGACAGGGAGAAGAGTTGCATTGTAAACAATGCAGCTGTGCTCTGTGTCACCGTTTGCCGGCAATCGCCGGGACCCAGTGGGTAATGACCGGCCGAGACCCGGTGATTGAGACCCGGTGATTGACACCCGCTGCCGCGATCGGCGGGCTGGGTAGGGCAGGCATGCGCCTCGTGTGCGCCCCCAACTGTTTTGCAAAATGACTTTTTAAAGCGCGATTTTGCCCAGCAGTGCCACCTTGTGGCCGTTTTTCTACAGTGGCTGGACGGCAAGCAGTTAAGACAAATCACGGCTTGAACCATCTTGCTTTGCATGTAATGAGTCTCTCTCATATATTAGTTTCACCTTTTAAATTGCATTACTGAAATAAATGAACTTTTGCACAATATTCTAATTTTTCGAGTTTCACCTGTATGTGGAATAACACTCCAAAACACATTCTCCTACTTCTTCCGAGTATGGGAATACCCCATGTAAGAGACTTTTTGGCAGCCTAGCTACATATCATTAAAGTGACAACTAAACAAAAAAAAATTGTCATTTAAAAAATGTGGCAAAAAATAAAATGTTCCATGGACTCAACATGCGTCTGCAAAATCCTTGGGGTATCTACTTTCCAAAAAGAGGTCATGGGGGGCATTTTAGTACCTCAACAAATGTGATAGGCAGTATAATGCTATGTAAATTCCAATATATATACCATAGTTTGTAGAAGCTATAACTTTCACACAAACCAATATACATGTATTGAGATTTTTTTTTACCAGACATGTAGAAGAATACATTTTAGCCTAAAATGTATAACTGAGTTTACTGGATGATTTTTTATAACCAAAAGTGAAAAACATCAGTTTTTTTTACAAAATGTGCGGTCTTTTTGTTTATAGCACAAAAATTAAAACCCGCAGAGGTGATTGAATACCACCAAAAGAAAGCTATTTGTGTGAAAAAAAGGACAAATTTCGTTTGGGTGCAGCATTGCACGACCGCACAATTACCAGTTGAAACAGCGCAGTGCAAAAAATGGCCTGGTCAGGAAGGGGGTAAATCCTCTGGAGGGCTGTGGTTAAATACCACAGCGCTCTCACATTGACCTCAATGGACAAGTCTGATTATACCACGTCAAACTCTGCAAGTCGAGTTAAAGTGTTATTTCGCTCTCAATCAACATGGACTATCTTAAATCCTTATGTGGTTAGCATTAGTAAATGGATAGGAAAAAGCATTTTCTTGTTTTAAACTTTTTTTTTTTTACATTTCTGCAGTTACTTTCTGGTTTCAATGACTAGGCAAATGATGTCATACATCCCAGCAGTCTTTATGAGGGAAGGGAAGGTTCTCAGCTCAGGCAATGCCTGAGCTAAGGACAGATTAATTCCAGGAAGTAAATGCTACATGAATCATCTGCCCTTACTCAAGATGGCCACTGCCAGAAATGCCAGTGGATGTTTTTCAAAATGATTTCTCAGCATAAAATAACAGAGACATGGATGGATGAGTTTGCTTTGAATATTAATTAAATTTAATTTTTTTTGCTTGTGGCGCTCAGATGCAGTGCAGTTCCACTTTAAAACTGACATGGCCACAAAGCAAGGCATTGCTGCCATGGCATGTATACAACCCTGCCTGTCAGAATGGGAGTCAGTAAAACTGGTTTAGCCACCTGTTTTTACCACCCCCTGCTAACTCATGTGAAAGAGCCCTATGAAAAAAAAAAAAAAAAAAAAAAACAGATTTCTGTGCCTGTTATGACCTTTGAAGCTTCTAGTGTTTAAAATCACAGAGAATGAGTTTCTATGGTTATAGTTCTTGTTCAGAATATACTTTATAGAGTGCATAGTCAGGGCATAGGATCACTTAAAGCAGGACTGCACCTAAAAAGGGACAACGTTATGCTTTGTTTCTCAACACCCCCCCACCCTCACCCACTATTAGAGTTTTGTTTTTTTTTCCCTTGGAGTGGGCATTTATTTCTGAGCGGTATCCACTCCATTTCCACTCAGATTTCCTATGCAATCCAAACAGAAGTTCAGCCCACATTTCCTCATCACAGGTCAAAAAGAGGCTGCAGGTCCACTGAGCTCAGCACTACTCTAGCATGCACAGTGAAAAGTCAGCCATGAAGCACCAGGAAGATCACAGCTGGTTTCCCACATCCAAGATGGTGATTCTGGGCACCTGAAGACCAGCAAAGAACCAATCCGGGTGACAGTAGGGCTGGATCTCTAGACTGGTGAGTCCATATTTATAAAAATTGAGCTACAGAATTTGTAATTGCCGATTTTTTTTTTCTAAAGAGAAGTTTTTAAAGGGTTATCCCATAGCAGCCAATCTGGTTTTAAGTTTTAATAATTAGAACCTGTTAATTTAATTCTATTCTCTATTGGTTAGGATGGATAATTTTTTTGCATATTTTGCACATAGACAGCAGATCTTACAGAAACATTTTCTGAATTTACATGTGTTCAGGTGGCACAAATAGTACATTAAGCCCACATTCAAGTGAACAGCTGCACTAGGCCGGGTGTGCTGAAATAATAGCATTGCTCAGCTACAGGACCATCTGCTCTGAATAAAATGACACTCGTATTGAAGTTTAACAAAGTAATGAATATTCCCTTGGTAGGATCAACAAAACTTTTCACACAGTAGGTACATATCTCTACAGTTAGGAGTAACAGGCACAGTACCCAATTAGAAGAAATGCATTTATTTTAGAATAATGAGAAACAGAAAAACACGCACTAATGGTCTTTGAGACCATACCAAAACATTACAACGGAAGCACAAAATGAAAGCCTTTGCAGCTTCAAAGAGTAGTGTCACACATTTCCTCTGCAATCTAGTAAACTGTCACCTGTACCTGTTGAATACAAGTTGCAATAGGCACCTAAGCCCTTGCTCAGAAGGGCATCTTACAGACATGGCTCTTTGCTGAGCAACTGCACACATGCTTGTCACTTCTAAAATGCTTTATGTTGATGGATAAATCAGGACTGCAATTCCAACACTTCACTTAAAGTAGTTTTAAAGGCAGAAATATTTTTTACCTTAATGTATTTTCTGCATTAAGGCAAAAGCCTTAATCATGCAGCTTCCTCAGCCAAACCCCCTTATACTTACCTGAGCCTGTTCTCAATCCAGTGATCTGCACAAGAGCAGTGGCTCTGCCTTACACAGTAGCGGGAGCCACTGCTGTCAATCACAGTTGTGTGTTATGGACACAGAGCAGACTCAGGAGCAAGCCCGCAGGAGTGCCCCCATAGCAAGTGTCTTGCTTAGGTGGGCACTCGGCAGAGTACCCCAGAATAGGAGGATCTGGGCAAGTATAGCATGTTTGTTATTTATAAAATATACAATTTTAACCTTTACAATCACTTTAAATGTGACGGTACCACTAATCTGCCACTTTCCCCTCTAACATATTTGAAAGGTTTTTTTGGACAGGGAGTACCTTTTTTTGACATGTATCTGTTCCCATGTTAAATGTCCCAGGAGGTTGAGGGACCAATCAGACAGCAAAGCATGATCACAAACTTTCTAGTCCAATACAAGTGAGGACACAACTCATCTGTTTGGACAAGCTCTTTTAAACTTGCAATGCCCTCTAAAGAGCAATTGACAGACCGTGATGAGGCGTTCTATCACCTCACTACCTGAGTTAACGTGTAATGCTGTACTACCAAGCTGCAATTGTGTGCATTGCACAAGGTCACAGCGCAGCCCCATTGAGCTCAATAGGTGAGTTTGGCAGGTGGTGAAGCTCAAACTATGCACCTTGAGTTAAAAATGCAGCAGCTGCAATGCTTAGCATGTATACAGCCCTGACTGGCTCTACTGTTTATAGTTTCTATGCCCCCCAGCCACTTGTGTTAAAGAGCCCTTTCTTGCCAACATTTAAGCATCGCTTTTCTTGTAGCCACTATCAAATGCAGTTACAATCAATTTGAAACTGAAAAATACTATACTACTAAAATATATGGTATTTTACAAATACCTGGCACACAGCAATTATGTCAACTGAATCTGAAAAAACTGGAATGGTCATTGACATTGAAGCCTGTAAAAAAGGAGTCTATTGTGTGTCACTACCCTTTAAACTGGAAAGGACCATGTCCATGAAACAGTACAGCAGAACACATCTGCACGGTCATTATCCGCTTTCAAAAAGTTAGTCTTGGTATGGCCTCTTCAAGCTGAAAGCCTATATAAAATAAATTTAATGAAAATCCCACAGACCCCAGTCCAAGGCTCTGCTGCCCACGAACCACTTCTAAGCAGAGAAGCCACATCACACAGTCTGACTGCCATGTTAGTTTGGAGTTGCCGTCTGCAATATGGACAAAAAAAAAAGTACTGCATGTTAGATTAACAAGAAAATGCAAAAACAGTATTACAGTTTTCCTTTCCCAAGATTTATTTGCATGGCTCTAATAGCCTGTGCCTTAGGAATGATTTGCATAAAATATTAACATTAATATCTGAAAGCTTTGAAATATTTTCATCAGCATTAAAATCACGGTATATTGCCTTTTACAGGGTGTGCATTATGTATAAGTGACTGCCGTAACATAAATTGGGACTTTCATAATAAAGAAAATGATGCCGCTATGTTGCCGTTTTAGTCATCTTTCCATTTCTATGCATTTTTCCCTTGGCTAACACCACAATGATACCTACATGGGCACATTCACCAAGAGCAGTTACATGAACAGATGAAGCTGCAATGTAGTATAGTAAAAAAAGGTTTTGAAAGAAGTTAGCAGTGGCAGCCACCACATTTCTGTCAACACCTTTCCTTGAAAATTAGTTTCCGAGCAGCTGTGCCTGTTCACAAGGAGAATGTCTGGAAGTAGGTGCTGAAGTAAATAACCGCATGAAACCTCAAACCGAAATTCCTCCAAATTACTCTAAAGGTTTGGGAAGCTAGTAATGAACCAAAATCTGGGATGATATAACTTGACCTTAAACCGTGCAGACAATCTTCTTTTGCAAGCAAAATAATGCATATCAATATAGCTTACATAACCATATAGCTCTACCACTGACAGCTAACTGCAAGTATTTCTGCAACCTGATCAAATGCATCAATATCAAAAATAGTAGATTAACATATCCTGACTTCATCCACACAAAGTACCCAACACAAACTAGCGAAACTCAAACTAAGCAATTTATGGGGAAAAAACACGTCAAAATGGACAACAGCTTAACATGTAAACTGGCAGCTTAACATGTAAATCTCCAATTTTCCTGGAAATATCAAGTTTTCTCCTGTCTATACGTGGGCAGGGCAAATATGGATGACATATTGTAAGTTTGCCTAGCTAGGTATTTGGGGAAAGGGTTAGTACCCCCTGTGGTATTTGAATGTCATCCGGAGCCCTGAAGAGATTTACGCTACACTGTCATCCAGGAAATGAGTTACATTTCCAGCAGCAAATAAGTTTTTCTTTTTGGTGGGGAAAAAAAGCTGGAACCCCCATCACATTTTTATTGTCACCCTGTTGTAGGTTCTTCCTTCCTGTCTTGTGAAACTGTTGACAGTGGAGCAGGAAGAGGTAGTGCTGAATAACCAAAAAACTATACAGGGGGTTTTCTAAGCACTTCCCCAACCTTTTATATGCAGCCCAGGGCCCGCGCTGGGCCCCCCCCCCCCCCCCATTAGTCACTGAGACCAATTCCGGTCCAGCGCTGTGTACATCTGCAGCAGCTCTTCTCCCCTCTCCCAGCTCAGGGCAGTGTGAGCTATTGGCTCTTGCTGCTGTCAGTCAAAATTTGCAAACAGAGAGCGGGAAGTGCAGCTGAGCAAGACTGTCTGAATAGACGCAAACAGCCCAGTTCCAGAGCAAGCCCGCATGAGTGACCACAATAGGAAGTGGCTTCCTATGGTGAGCACTCACTGGAGGGGAGAAGCCAGGAGCGCCAGCAGAAGATCCAAGAAGAGGATTGGGGCTGCTCTGTGCAAAACTATTGTACTGAGCAGGCAAGCATAATATGTTTGTTATTTTGAGAGAAAAAAAAAACAAAAAGCTTTAGTATTACTTTATATTTTGGCTAGACAACTAAGCAATAGAACACAAAATTAGGATATTTGCTTTACCTGTAAAACCCTTTTCTTGGAGTAAATATGACAGGAATAAGGCTCCATGCACACTGGATATTTTAAGAATTCTGGTAGCGTTAGCTGTGTAAAGTTAGATAACGCAATTTTTCAGTGTTTTTACATTAGTGTTTAGAGCGTTTTTTTAACCCCTCCAAAAAAATTTCTGCTCAAAAAACGTCCAAACGCCAGTTTGCTGCGTTTTTTAGTTAGAGCCTTTTTACAGCTAAAAAAACCTCCTCTAGAAACGATCAAACATCTTGCTTTTGCAAAATGCATGCTCCTTACAGTTTTAAGTTTGGTTCATGTGCCAATAATTTACAGTTTTACCATTCCAATAAATGCCACAAACAGTACTGCACTAATCAAAACTGAAGACTACACTATTTAGTACAATGAATGGTAACCACAGCTCTAAGAAATACATTATGCAATTTGTTATTCCTATCTATGTTCCTGTTAAAGAAGTTGCCTCCTTCCTTCTTGTGGGGAGGGGAGGTGATGGGAAACTTCACAAACTAGAACACAAAAATACATTCTTAACAGAGGGAGAGTGGGTTAGATCTCCTACCCAAACTAAACAGAAAAAGTAGCTTTAAGACTCTCTGCCAGGCCCTGCACTCCACTTTTAAACTCAAGTGGTCAGGCCATTTTTGCAATTTTTTTATTTTTCCATTAGGCTACGTTCACACTAGCGTTGTGTGCAGGTGGCAGAAAGGCGTTTGGGAAGCGTTTATACCGCTTCCCAAATGCCTCAGACAATTCTGCACATTGCAGCACATGGTGCTGTTCTAACGGGAGTGTTAGCGTCACGGCAAAACGGACACCTCTGGTCGAGTCAGGAGGCGTTGAAGCGTCCTATTCTAGTCTATGGTGCCGCTCCGCAAACACCCGGCCGGCGTTTGCAGTGTGGTTGCGGGGCGTTTGCAGAGCGGTAACACCATTCAAACTTCATTATAGGCGTTTGTAGGGCGTTTTTAACGCTTGGCAAACACCTAGCAACCGCCGCTGAACCGCGCATGAGGCGTTTGACGAGCGCTAAAAAACGTTCCGCAAACGCCGGACCAACGCTTGCCAAACGCTATAGGGGCGTTTGGCAAGAGTTGGTAAAACAGTCAAGTGTGAACGAGCCCTTACAGTGGTGGCCAGCAACTAGATCACAGCCAGGTTACTGGTAGATCAAGGTCTGGGCTTGCTGACCTGCCATCCCAGAGCATCAATGCAGAGGGACAACTTTTAAAGTTGGAGCTGTAGTAGAAAGCAAGAGCCGCATAAGCTGTTGCCTCCTCTGTAGTGCTGGCTCTTGTCCCATGCTGTCCCAAACTGCAATCCATCTCTAATCCCAGCTAGTGTCTTCAAGAGTGGTGCCAGCAGCAGGAAAGAAGAGATCTTCAGGCCAGTGTAAAACAATACACTGGGCATAATAGTATAGGGCTACTTTCACACTGATGAGCTGCTGTTTACCCACCCTGCAGGTGTAGTACAGTGTACCTGCATGTTTACTGCGCTTAGACAGACTACTTATATCCTGCGGGTTTGGGGCATTTTCAGAAAGCGCACTACACTTTCAGGATGGAAGTCTATGGCAAAGCACAGCTAACCCAAAGTGGTCAGTAGCACTGTGCTGCACTTGCAGTGCAGGTAAACTGCAGCAAATCAGTGTGAAAGCAGACTTATAGGGCGTTCAGAATAAGGGTTAATTTACATTTGCAGAGGGGTAGTAAAACCTCAGTTATGACATTAACCACCCTAACTGCACCCCCTTTAACTGCAGTGGCCAGGGGTGTACACATGACACAACTACAAGAGTTCTAGACCCTGTCATGGTTGGTGGGTGTAGCACCTGCCAAGCGTGACCCATTCAGGTGAATGAGGCTGCTCTGCAAGTGCCCTGTAACGTTCTGCAGTACAGCAAAAGAGTTAACATAGGCAGCATTGTGTTGCTTTCTTACCACCTACTTTAACCCCTTGGACCCCCCCTGCAGTTGCGGGGCGCTTTCAAAGTGGTCCCATTGATGTGAATGAGTTGTAATTGGCAGGTGGTAGCACCCATCAAAAGCAACAGGGGCTTTAATTCCTGCTGTGGCATATGTACACCTTTTGGCTGCTGCCTCAGCAGCTAAAGGGGTAGGGATTGGGGACAGTAAAACCATGACTCCCGCAGGGTTTTACCGCCCCTCAACTATGTGTGAGCGAGCCCTTGGGGGGCGCTGCTGAATGCAACTAAGGGTTCATTGACAAGTGCAGCAGGCACTGCGGCTCCTCTGAAAAGCAATCCGAGTGTTTGACAGGTGTTGAGAAGGCAATATGTTGCCTCCTCACCACCTGATTTAAACCCATAAATGTCAATTGCGACACGATAGTACAGCAATTAGAGGTGTAAATCTGGTGTGAGGAGGCGACACTCTGCCCGGTGATCTTGACTTCTCCCATGTTGTTCAGGTAGATCTCCAACCTCTAAGATTGCCTACCCCTGCCTTACAGCTTTCAGATATTGTAAAAGACCCCCCAAACCATACATTTTCTGAAAGCACAAGACTAGTATAATAAATGTGCTACTGAGTTTAAGGCCCTGTGACATCTGCGCGAATGTTTTTCAATTCCCAATTTTTGCTAAAAAAAAAAACACTAAAATTATTAAAGAATACATATATGGCAAAACTTTCAAAAATCCTGCTAACTACTAAATATAAAAGCTAAAACTGTATTGAGTTACCTAATAAATATTTGTACATTTTAAATTGCGCCATTTTGTGAACCTGAAAGTGCGCAAAATAAAAAGAATTTACTGAAAATCTGAAGGTTGTCACTTCCAGCTTAGAGTTTTGTAAAAGACCCCCCCCCCCCCATACCATACATTTTTTGAAAGCACTTGACCTGCAGAAAAAAAAAAAAAAAAAAAAAAAAAAGGTGCCACTGTTTGTTAGGCCCACGATAAATGCTTAGTGGCCCCCCGCGGGCTAACAACTCCTTACAAATTGGATAGCACCGACTAGTGAGGGTGCAGGTTGGGGAAAGGTTTGTCCAGACCCATAGCATGCTATAGAATGGTTATCAGGTAGCAGCAGCCTCCACTCGATTTACCCAAGCCATGCTCACGTTTCACCCTCTCCCAGGGCTTTATCACCGGGGCAGGGCGAAACATGTTGAGGGCATGGCTTGGATGCATTCAGCTGTGGCTGCTTTTACCTAACCACTCAGGCCAGGT